TCTTTTTCTTTTCATTCTTTTTCTTTTCATTCTTTTTCTTTTCACTCTTTTTCTTTTCACTCTTTATCTTTTTCGTTTCATTCTTTTTCTTTACCTGTGAAAGAATGGCGAAAATTGGTGACAGTAAAATTTATTCATCTTTATTTTATTTATGTAAGGCAGCTAAAGCACAGTTGGATTTGTTGCTCTAAGTGAACTTAAACTGGTACAATTGTTGTTTGCAAAAAGGAATTTTTGGAAAGCGAAAAAAGAAAATACATTTCGTATATATCACTTATTTGATTTTCATTCTAACAAAACTCATAAATTTTCTTTTCCGCTTTTTTTCCATGTTTTTTTTAATCAAAACTAACAAATCTATTTAGATTGAATGCGATTATTTTTTTTCTTCGGTTTATATATCCAAACTTACAGTGCTGGTTTTGAAACAAAAAAAAAAGAAATAATTGAGACATAATTCAAATTTTTGATTTTGCTAATTTATTTTCATTCATATTTTCTGAATGGAAGGAAGAAAATAATAATGGGAAGAGTGTAAGGAAAGTAATAAATGAAGCATCAAAAATCTTGTTAAAAATTTTAACTATTTTTAGTTTTTAAAAAATTTGTAAATTATTCTTTTATTTGTGCATATTGTTGTATATGAATGTTGCATGTTAGCATTATTCATTAAATTTCTTACCAAAAATAATTAATTAATGTGACATTTTCATTGTTTAAATGAGTTTGAATGAATAAATTTTTATTACAATATTAATTATACTAAACCAATAAAAAATCGCTACATTTCACAAGTTATTTGTACTAAGTTACTTAAAAAACTATCGTGTTCTTCAACAAAAAAAAATAATAATAAACCTTTTCTTTGAAAATGCTTTTATGCAAAATAATAAAGTTTTTTTAAGGCCTATTAAAGATACTTTCCATTTTCTTCTCAGTTCAGTCTCGGCACTTTTGCTTTAGAACATTTTTCACTAATCCCAAATCATACATTGATTCTTCATTGTTAATATTTCTGATTTATTTCTTTATTGTTTTCGTGAAGCTTTTTATTGTATTTTTTAAAGCAACAAAAAAAAATTTTAAAAAGTAACTACTATTGAAAAAATTGAAATGAAAAGAATATTTGCTAAACTAATGAAACTTAATTAATCATAAGTTTAATTTTTAGCATTTGTTAAAAACTTTTAATTTAAAAATTTTTTCTTTGAAATTTCAAACTTTTATGAATACCACATTCATTGTACGCGTTCTATCATCTAACTTTATACTAATTGCAATTACATTAATTAGTTCCCTTTCTGGAATGCGACTTTCGGTCATCCACCGCAGAACGTAGAAACATCAACCGATGCATTGTTGAAACGAAATTATCATTTATTTAGTAAATTATCTTTTACAGCGAATCAAAAGAACTGTCACAGTTTAATACCATTATAAAAGTATAATTAAAGCAAGAAAAAATTTCCATCGATATTATTGTCCAATTCATTTAATCCATATCTGTTGCATTTTTCTATTTCATTTCGATTACTCGAAACATTGCTAAATTCATTGGATTCACTGATTTTACAAGGTAAAATTGCCATAAAAATTGTCTTTCCCGATATGAACAAATTTTGTTTTCAAAAACAAAATGAATAATCAAATTTTTCATACTTGGATGAATGAATGTGTTGTGAAATTCAATGAAGCATGATATATTTAATTAAATCCCTTCTCTCTTTTTTGTTATTGTTAAAATTTCCATTTTATGATTTATCATAAAATAATCTTTAGTCCTTTTAATTCTAGCATTTTTATTTGATACTGAAAATAAAATTTCATTCATTTCTAATAATTTTTATGCATCTTTTTTTCTTCAATGATTTGATCATATTTTTCGTGTTTGAATAAATATAAAAAATACACGGTTATTGCTTTCTCCCCTTCTCTTTCTCTTTCTCTGTGTGTGTGTGTGTGTGAGTGTGTGTGTGTGTGTGTATGTGTAGAAAAATCATAACTCAGTCAAAAGTGAACTTTCGCTTGTATTTTTGATGAAATAATCAAAATATTTTTTATTTTTAAATTGATAAAAACTAATTATTATTCCATCTTAGTGACAAACTGAATTATCTTAGAAAAATGAATATAATCTTTGTATTATTTAATAAATTGCAAATATTTTTAATACAACATTTTTTCATATTTCATTAACATTTCATAAATAAACACTTCAATATTCACTATTTGCAGTTGCATTGACATTTCATTATTACTTATTTTTAATTGCTTTACATTTCACCATCCATTCGTTACATTTCAATGCATAATAGCTTTAATTTCAGTTATATGATACATTTTTTTCTTCATATATTTATATGCAACAAATAAATTTTTCGAAAAATGTCAATTTTCCGTAAAAATTATTAACAATTATGTGCGAATATTTTCATTGACGCAGGATTAATTCTCTAACTTATTTTCTTTTTTCTTTTAAATTCTTCCATTTTTTTTCCAATTATTAGTAAATTTTTGAGCATCATTGTTAAATTTTTAGTTCTTACTTTATTGTACTAATACTTATTGTCAACATAAATGAAATTTGATTTGTTTGTAAGGAGAAAAATTTATGGCACTTGGAAAAAAATTACTAGTTTTAAAATAATTGTTGAATATTTTGGCTAAATTTGTGAAGTTTGCTAACTTCTAATATATATTATTATCACTTATCTAATCATTCTTTTTCATCAATAAAACTTTAAAAAGTATCTGATTAGGTGCTCGAATTTTAGAATTCAGATTTCTGATAAAAAGTAAAAGAAAAAAATTTTTTTTTCGAAGAATCAAATAACTAAACAGTTACGCACAGTGTCAAATTTTTTGTTTGCTTTACGATTACAATTGCTCGTGATATAATTGAAAACGAAAATAAAAAATGAGTTATTATTTTTGCGCAAAAATTGCAGTGGTTCAATGATCACATTGGCAAAATAGCTTTTAAAATTTCCTGGAATAACTCTTATTCTATCTGCTGAGCTGTATTGAGCACTTAATACTATTATTTGTCACCGATATGCATATATATGCTAATAAAAAACGAAAAAGTTCATTACAAAAATGTTAATTTATTCGAATTGCATTTGTATTAATTTTTTCAAATTACATCAAATTACATTACTCACTTCTTGTTTTCTAGCACCGTTTTTTTCGAATATCATTTTTCATATTTAAATTTTTACACTTTATTTTTTTCATGCAGAAACAAAACTCACTTTTTCCACTCTTTTATTTTCCTCCAAAATTGCATTTTATTAAAGTATTAAATTTCTTTTAGTGAATGTTTAGAAAAACTATAATCATATATTATTGTCACATATGAAATATTAAATTCGCGTGTTACATCAATCTTTTTTATATTTTTCATTAAGTAAAACTTTGAAAAAAGAAAAAAATTTTTACATCTGATTTCGATTTCGTTCTAAGAATTGAAATAATCATACTGTGTATTGTTTGATTCTCTTAAATTTCATTTCATTTCAATTAGAATCTTTGTTTATTTATGGAAATTTTCTGGTATAAAAGTATTGCAGAAATACTAATCGTATTTGTTAGATTCCTTCAGCTGTATTCATAATTATTTTCGTATCACTATTAATATTATTAGTATTTTATTAAAGATAACATCATTATTGCTAATCATTATTATTATTGCTATTTTTGCACTTCATATTACTATTTCTTTTCAAATATGATAGCTTTCTTCTGATTTCATATTTCAGCATAGATTTGGAATTAGGTATTTTGATATTTGAAAAGAAATATCTATAATATTTGAAGGAAATGATATTGCAAATCGTCGATTCATTGTAATTTTAAAATATTCTTATATGTTCAAATTGTTTTAGCTTACAAAAATTTTTTTTAGAAAATGGCAGGCTGCTTAAGACAAAATTTATTGCTGATGCTAACAATCACTTCTGTATTACTGGGTATTCTATTGGGCTTTATTGGACGAATATTTAATTTTACAGTTCAATCTGTAGTACTGGTTAGCTTTCCGGGCGAAATATTAATGCGTATGCTGAAGCTAATGATTCTACCGCTTATAATCAGTTCACTCATTTCAGGTAACATCAATTTAGATAAAAATAGAACAAATGCAAATATCTTCAATAGAAATATATAAACTTTTTGCTTCAATAACCACTATTTGTTAATTTAATTCTTAGATCGAATTTGAAATTAAGCGTTAATGTTTTATATCTAGCAAATAACTTTTTTTTAAGAGAGAATATTACAGTATCTTGCTATAATTATTTTATTCTCTCTGATGTCATGAAAATTTCTTCTAATTTTTTTTTGATTTTTGAATACTTAGTATAACTACTCATTCTCTCCTTAGACTCTAAAAAATGCTGGTGAATCTAATTATCAATAGAATTAAATTAGCTAATTTAAAAATCCATCTAAACCATTAATATCTAAAGCATTTTATTAGTAATATTTTAGATTTTATGTCTTTGGAAAAAATAAAACTGAAAATAAATAAATTTTAGGATTAGCTCAATTGGATGCGAAACAATCCGGTCGTTTGGGTTTTCTTGCAATATTTTATTACGTTGCTACTACTGTTATTGCTGTTATAGTTAGTCTTTAACATAAATAATCTAACATTTATAATTATTTTTAAATCAGCATACCCTATTTTCCATATATTTTTCTGAATTTTTAAATTTATAGTGGATAAAATTTTACTTAACAAAAAACTAATAATACTTAATTTTTTTTTCTTTTTTCAGACGGGCATATTTCTGGTGTTAATAATACATCCCGGTGATCCAACAATCAAACATGATATCGGTGAAGATATAGATGCAAAAACAGTCAGTACTCTCGAAACATTTCTCGACTTATTGAGGTAACTTAAAGAACCCCTCTTTGAAAAAAGATGGGTCTGTGGATCAACTTTGCAATTCAGGAAGAATGTAATTCCGGAAGTCGAGAAGTGCTCTCCCAGAATATATAGAGAGATCGAAAGAGTGGAAAAAAGAAGGAAGCAATGTGTGCTTTCGCAAATTGGTTAAAGTTCAAACTAAATTTGAAAACGTATAGTTGGATAATCAAAAGCAATCCATATATGCAAATTAAATTGGACTTTTTGCAGTGCTTAAAGCAGAAATATTAATTTAATCTTTTCGAAGAAATAAATTAATTTCAATAATAATACTTTTGGAGTTATTGTCATTATTATTATTTGAATGAAAGAGCAGTGGAATACGGAAGGCTGAAGAAGAAAAATTCAGTTAGAAAAGAGGAAACGAAGAAAAAAAGGACGATATTAGTCTTAAAAGTTTTCTCTATACATTTTTTTAAATAATTTAATTAATTGTAGGAATACATTCCCGGAAAATATTGTACAAGCAACATTCCAACAGGTGCAAACCAAATATATCGCGATAAAACCAAAACTTATTAAAAGAAACAGTTCTGAAATTTTACATGCAATTGCAAACGGTTCTCTTATTGTTATGAAACCAACCGTTGAATATACTGCTGGTATGAATGTTCTTGGTAGGTATCTTTTTCATCTTTTTAATAATTGAATTTACTTTAATTAACACGAAGTTTTTTTGAAAAAATGATAACGAATTTAATGATTTTTTAATTTACCACCTTATCACATAAATCATAATGATTTTAATGATATTGATCATCTTATCACGTTAATCATTCAGGTGTAATAGTATTTTGCATATCTTTTGGAATTATATTAAGTCAACTTGGTGAGCGAGCTCATACAATGGTTGATTTCTTCTCCATAATGGATCAAGTAATTATGAAACTTGTCATGCTTATCATGTGGTATGCATTTATGCAAATGTAATAAAAGAAATCAAAATGAAAATATTGGAAAAATGTATACCATTAAATTTATCATCCTATCAATTTACACAAAGAAATCTTATTAGATCTTATTGATAAAATATTATCCATTAATTAAAATACGATTAAATAATCGTTTCGTTTAAAAGAAAAAAAAAAGGAATGAAGAAAGGTATTTCGAATTAAGGTATTCACCGATTGGAATAATGTGTTTGATTGCTGGAAAAATTTTGGAAATCGATGATTTGGCACATATGGCTCGAATGTTGGCAATGTATGTGATGACAGTATTGCTAGGACTTATCATTCATGCATTGATCAGTTTACCAATATTATTCTTCATCTGTACCAGGAAGAATCCATTTACATATATGCGGGGTTTACTACAAGCATGGGTTACCGCTCTTGGAACTGCTTCAAGGTTTTATTATTATTTTATCAATTTCTTCATTCATGATCTTCTTTTACTTCATACATTAGGAAATGATTGTAAATTGTATGAGAATGATGATAAGGATGTTAGAAAATTTTTATTTACTTTCATTAATTTATTATTATTAATTGATTAATTGATTAATTAATTAATTAATTAATTAATTAATAATATGAAAATGATAAGAATACTGGAATTTTTTATTATTTTTTTGTTTACTATTTATAAAAGTATTTAGTTCTTAACTCTTTTTTTGTTCAATATTTCTATTTTAGTTCGGCAACACTTCCCATTACATTTAAATGTTTGGAAGAAAATTTGGGAATTGATCGACGAGTGACTCGATTTGTACTACCTGTTGGAGCAACTATTAATATGGTCTCTCTTTTTTTCTCCTTCTCTCTCTCTTTCATAGATTTTTTTTGTTTTTCACAAATATTATTTGAATTTTGTTAACTTTTGAATGATTACAGGATGGTACAGCATTGTATGAAGCAGTAGCAGCTATTTTTATAGCCCAAACAAATGGTGTTGTTCTATCATTTGGCCAAGTTATTACCATTAGGTTTTGTTGTGTTTTTTTTATTATATAAAAAATTTTAATTTCTTTTTTAGAATTCCCTACTACAAATTATATATACTTTTTTCCTAATCTTAATTTAAATTTGAGATAGGATTTATAAAAAATTGCTGAAAATTTCAGTTTAACAGCAACATTAGCATCAATAGGCGCAGCATCAGTACCATCAGCTGGCTTGGTAACAATGTTAATCGTTTTAACAGCAGTTGGTTTACCTGTAAAGGATGTTTCGTTAATTGTGGCTGTTGATTGGCTTTTGTGCGTTTTTATAAGTTTTAAATTTAAATTTTCATTTTTTTGTTAGTAAAAATTAGGAATAGTTTGAAAATTTGAAGCACTGGGCTGATTCATCTATTCAAATTATTCAGAAAATTTTGTCAAATAAAGTGAATGATAGGACATCATCGGAAAATGTGGAAAAAGCGCAAACGTAAGCAAATAGCCTTCTTATTTCGGATCTTTTTACAGCAAAATTTTTCTTTGCTTTTTCTAAATTTTATTTTTAAATTATGATAATGAATGTATGAATAAGTGCGAAATGCAAACTTTACAAGAAGTAAAAAATATAACTGCAAAAGATAATCAGAAATGGCAGTCTTTTTTTTCTGTTTTTTGTCCACAGCAGAATTTATATTAGTTGAAATTGAACTTAAAATTTTTTTGCAACTTTTTTGAACTAGTTGAAATTAAACTTTCAATTTCAATAATATATATTTTAAAAGTGATTTTATATATGCTTGCTATCTTTTTAATTAGTAATATTTTATGCAATTCTTATTTATTAAAATTTTTTTTTAAAACAAAAAGCTTGCCAATTTTTTTTTTTGCTCCTACAGAGATCGTATCCGAACATCAATCAATGTGTTAGGGGATGCATTTGGAGCAGGAATTGTTCATCATTTCAGTCGAAAACAGTTAGCGATAATTGATGTGGAACGTCGAT